TCCAAACTGGACATGAGGAAGTGATCAACATTCTCTGAGGATAAACCTAAGGAGTTCCAAACCAAGAACGCTTCCTTGGAGAGTCCAGAATGGCTACAGCTGTTCAGCACCGAGCATTGGGCCTCCACCACGCTTTCACAGTGAGTTTCCATGGCGCAACAAGCGATGATATAAATACAATCTTCACATCCCAAGTATATCCGCGAGTTGGTATGTACTTCGCCCCACACAGCCTCCATGTCGATCTTGGGCAAACCATCCCCCACTGGCATTGGGACAAACTTCTCACATAAACGATCGCGAAGCTCTAGATACTGTGCTCGCAGTCCAGGAACGTCAGTTGAGAACTCCAACTAGACGGCTTGAGACTGCGAACGAAATCTGCGACGACACCGAAGTGTTCGTCGGGACTATTCAAAAATTGAAGATTCGGGGAGAGCCCATTCCTATCTAGCATATGATCGCAACATTCGAGGTTGATATCATCGCGAGAGCCGAACAGTGCCTCTCCGCTTAGACACTGACAACAAGCTTCCAGCCACGCTGGTGCATCCCTAAGCATGCGCTTCCCCAGCGCTGCGATCAGTTGGTCATTCCCGCTTACGCAGAACCCAATGGCTATCCTGAATAACCACGGTGATATAGTGTCGAGCTTCACAGTCTGCCAAGATCTACCGACGAAGTCAATGCCAGCGAGCGTAGGTACAGCCGTTGGTGCGCACCACTATCTCATGTGCTTGTCTTCAGCGTCTTGTGCAAACTAGGCGGAGCTTCACATCGGATGCCCGATTTCGTTGACGTAGGATGGATGAAGAGGAAGTGAGGTTAATGTATACCCTAGGCAGGATTCGAACCTACGACCATCTGCTCCGTAGGCAGACATTCTATCCAGCTGAACTAAGCTGGGGGCAAAAGATACTGAAAAGGAGTGGGAAAAGAAAAGAGGAAGAGGAGGGGGAGAGAGAAAGAGCAGAAAGAGAAAAAGAAAAAAGAAAAGGAGAAAGAAGGGGAAAAATTAGCCTGAAATGCCACTGAAAAGCACTATTCCTACCATTCACCCACACCAAACCCCCTAGACGCAACATTGAGCAAATAAATACACCAATTCATGCATCCTCATTTTCTTCTGCGTTTATCGTTTGGCCTTTTCCAATGCCCCTTCAAGCGAGCTTGCTTCTCCGCTTCGTAGCCGACCAATATGGATGGGTCACCAGATAACCGACAGAAAACAACACCCTGATCAATATACCTGAGACTCTTATAGATGCTGCTCCATGGTTGCTCACAGATTGTGCAGCATCGTTCAACCTTGGTCTAGGGCCCACCTCCTATGGCCAAGGATCTCCTTCGATCTGGTTTTCTTTATGACCGCTCTCTGATGATCGCTGAGCCGCTGGTGATGAACTGCTGTCGGCACATAGTAGTGCTACTCAGTGTTCTGCAGTATCTTTCGTCTGTCGATACCCAATAACACTCACAGTCGAGACATCTAAACCCAATATTTTGTAAGCTATACGGTAGCCCAATCCTGTAGCAAAGTTTGGTACGCCCGGCAGTATGAGCGGAGATTCGAGAAGTGTTACATGCAGGGCAGCGGCCCGACAGCGGAGCCCATACAAAATGTCGAAGATATCCCTTTTTATCCGGTGCCCACCCTATTTCGAGGTGTTTCAACTCGGATATATTGAGACATTGTAAACCTTTGGATAAAGGCACCACTATTTCGGTCGGCGATATGGGTTCGCTAGCACATGCTCTTCCCCTCCGGAGATAGACTCGAGCAGTCGACGAGTTTGCTTTCTGCTCCTTACAACTCGGCTCTGGAGCCGCAAGGTCGACAGAACCCAGCGGAGTTAAAGGCCTCTTATGACTCGATACAGTGTCTCCTGAGCCCCCCTCTCGTGGATTATGAAAGCCACACGTACACTCTCGCAACCCGCCGGGAAAGTGATCACGGATAGATACACAATTACGACCTCGACCCTTGTATGGGCAATTCAGTACCTTTTTGAACCTCTCAGCAACCTGCTTCTTCCCAGGCGCTTCTCAACGTCCTGGTCTCGCTCCTGTATAAGAAAGCTCATGTAGCCTTTTCTCCCACTCAGTTAGGGACTTGCTCAGATTCGGCATTGCTAAAAGGCGTGTGTACCACCTGAACTAATCGGGCGATGAAGCTAGTCACTTTGATTGATATTAAAGTTGAATACTTTTCCGAAATGGTTTAGGCGGTAATTGGTCAATCCGTCAGGATACGTGAGCGGAATCCGGATGCTCAGGTACAGCCGTTG